TCTTTTAAGGTTTGTAAAACAACAATGGTTTATTTATATGCGGTGAAACTTCAGTATATTATATTATTTGATATGAAAATTAATTTTTACTTAATAAGCAAGTGTGATTGGGATAGTAAAATTTTTATTTTTTGTCATGTCACTTTATTCGATTATTTGTGATGATCTGCAGGTGTCCCTATACTTTTGTCCAGGTAGTGTATAATTTATTCGGGCCAATCAAATTGCGTGATAAAATCAAAATATGATCGACGAAAATCATTACCAATTTGCGAATGTCCGCCATGCTCACCTTTGATATTAATCCATAAATAAATACGTGCATTCGACCATTTCTATATCTAGGATCTGTTAATTTTAATTTAAATATATAGTACACCGTTTTGACCTTTATGTATCTACAAGGAATACCGGTGATTTTATTCTATTCCTTTGGAATCTAAGCGGTGTAGGTTTTGTTAATTAAACACGATATTTATTGATGTTTTATTATTTCTCGACGATAAAGGATAAAGAACACGATGATGATGAGTAATTGTATGATTTTACATCATCCACATCAGTTACTAGTGTATAGTCAGACTCTTCTGCACCATATTTTAAGACATTAAAATTTTCAGCATCAGGCATTATTGTATTATTAACAGATTCCGCATCAGAATCTGCATCAAATAATTACATAGTATCATTATCTTCATTATCATCATTTCCACTTTGTTTTACATCATTGTTAGCAGAAGGTTTATTTGAACCGGGAATATGACCAGATTGTAACAATTTTTCAAGACGGGCAACTTCTTCCAAAGTTTTGGCATTACGAATGGCCTCATATTTGTTTTATTAACAAATGATCATCATTATTTTTATTTTAAAATGAAAATGAATTCTTTAAATAAGCAGCTCTAACCTTTATCTGAGCTTGTTCTTCTGTTGACATACCAAGTGTGGGCAAATTTGATTTTGGTAGATTAATGTTGATGGTGGTGGTGGTGGTGGTGGATGAGACTATACCTTCACCAGATTCAATAATTTTTGAATTTGTTTCTGATATAGATTTTGCAAGTGAGGTTGGTTCACCTTTTGTTGTTTCAAATAATTTTTTGGCTTCTTTACGTTCCTATAACAATAATAATAATAACAAAATAATCACAAAATTATTATCTTTTAAAAAAATCAAAGAAAAGGTTTCATACCATATCACGAACTCTTTTGAAATCTATAACTCTAATACTAGGGATCTTCCGAATCACCCAACTTCGATACCATTGTTTCCTGGTTACTGGGTTATCCAGTAAACTTATATATTGTAATCTTTTAATTCCATTTAATGGTTGCAAATCAGGTAATTCCATTATATTGTTGTTTGTTAAAACTAAAGTAGTAAGGTTGGGTAGAAATTCAAATAGTTGTGGATCTAGTCGATTAATTCGATTATTGGCTAATAATAGTGTACAAACACGACATAATAATGGGAAATTACCCAATATGCGAATGTCATTGTCTATTAGATCAATTGCGTCATTTAAGTCCTTTGTTTCAAGAAAATTTATCATAATTAATGTTATAAACAATGTATGATTTAGCTCATTTGTGAATGTATTATATATGTATGTAACATCATAATATCATTCGTATTTTTTCCTAATCATTAATTACCTTTGACACGCCAAGATTTTCTATAGAAGGAATTTTATTACCTATTAATAAAGTAATTATAAAAAAAAAGGAAAAAATGAGCTAAATCATACATTGTTTATAACATTAATTATGATAAATTTTCTTGAAACAAAGGACTTA